TATCGAGTAGGGTTAACAAACATTTCCAGCAGTTTGGTGTATGCAGCTCGACCCTTGGAGACTTAGGCGTTACCGTTTGTGGTAGAACTGGGAGTTAATGACATTCTTTTCTTCAGAAAAGCTTTCCTTTGACTTACGGGCCCACAGGGCAAAAAGGTTTGAAGTTTGTTTTCTGTCTTTTACGAAATAACTGTTTTTTATGGATGTTTGAAACCAATATCGCACTAGAGACTATGACCTGAGAGTGAATGCGTCGCATGTCACCCAAAGGGTACCATACTAAACATCCAAGTTGTCAGAAAGAAACTCTCCGACAACCCTTTCCCAGATAGCTTAAGGCTCGTAACGTACAACATCAGTTAACCTTTATTACCATATTTTAATTTGTTCTAAGATGAGAAGAGAAAGGGACAACTACAGGGGAGACTATCAAGTCCTACTGTTGTCATGCCAAGGATTCATCCTATGGTTGAGGTTCGAAACAGGGAACTCCTAGAAGTTATCATGCATAGGTTTCAACCTAAAGTTCTAATCATCACTTCCTTGTCAAAGGAAATGAGATTCCTATGGGATCATGTCAATGATAAACTGAAACAGATAAAGCATCAGCTTAAACAGTAAATAGTAAACAGTACAGGAAACAACTGTAAAATGCATGCAATGCAAGTGAGGGAGGAAATGTGTATGGGGCATCGGCCTCCACAAGCTCGTCTCAACCTCAAGCCAGATATGAGTAACTGTAATCATACAGGAAATAACATGCTATCAAGCAAGATAGAATAACTGCAATCATACAGAGGAATAAAATGCTATCAAGCAAACACAAACCACACAGGCAAGGGAGCAGGGCTCTACCGAATACCCGCAAGCAAAGCCATACAGTAACAATACAAGCAGAGGGAGCAACTCAACCTCTAGTGCAATCATGCTCCTAGCTGACCTCAGTCTAAATATGAACTTATTCTAATGCATCAAGCAAATCAAACAAGTCACAGCAATACAGTTGCACAGCAAGCAAACAGACAGGAAAGAAAGCAGAACAACAGCTTCCACAGCAAAGCTCTCCTCTGACAGCAGTTCAGTCATCAGTCTGCAACTACTCTTCAAGGCTATCATCTTCAATAGCAAGTATCAACTTGCTTCTCTGAGCTTCCAACACATCCACATAAGTATCAACTTATCCCTCTCCTTCAACTTCAAGCTTCAGCTCTTCAGTAAGCTCCACCTTCAGGCCTCAATGCACTAAACCTACAAGCATCAGCTTGCTTCTTCCTCAAGCTTCAGCTTCTTCATTCAATCTTCAATGAATTCCCCTCACAAGTATCAACTTGTTATTCATCTTCTTCAAGCTTCAGCTCTTTCTTCAATCTCAGCTTGATTTTCCTCCCACAAGTGTCAACTTGTTCCTCTTGATCTTCAAGCTTCAGCTCCAAGGATAGTCTTCAAGTACAGAGAAGTACCAACTTCTAACCTTCAATCTTCTTCAATCAAGGAACTCCATCCTCTAGAAAGGGAGAAAGATTAATCTAACAAGAGCAAAGTTTGGATGATTGGTAGCAAAGTGAAGACCAAAGGTCACCACTAAGCATCCTATCATCAGAGAAAGGGACCCTCAAAGGTTCTACCAACTTGTAAAGAGCCACAGATCCTACCAAAGGAGGGATGAGGCCCTTACAAGGGGACCTTACATCATAGGGAAGAATGGAAGTGATCAACATCTTCCATGCTTATGAAGGAAGATAATCTATCTAGAAGCTCTGCCTACAAACCCTAATCTTAACACCTAATCAGCACTACACCAAAAGAAGGGAGGATGTTCACATCCAAACTTCTTCAAGCACTCCATTGCATCTTCAACTTGCCTTCAACCTCAACCAAGGGTAAAAACAACACAAGCTTACTCTAAGGGAACCTAAGGGGTTAATCTAGTCAAATTAGTGCATTAGAATCATCCAAAGTTAGCACCTAAACTAAAATCAAACAAAAATAGTAAACTACATTGTAAATTCCTACAAAAATTCCTAAGGTACCCTAATTCAATCATGAACCTACCATACAAAATCCAGGGGTTAAATCATCTACAAAGTCCTAGAAATAAATCCTAAACTATAAGGTACTAAGCTTAAACCCTAAAACTAGAGCACCTAAAGTTTCAACCTACAACTACCACTTACTTTCATCACAAAAATGTGAGAAAAATCTAGGCGGAACATACATATCTATTCTAGCTACACACAAAAAATCAAGGCAAGAATCATCATCAAATGCTCAAACCAAATTCAACAAAACAAAGTATCAACCATGATTATTTTAACATCAATTAAAATTCAACAAATGCAAATAAAATCAAAAATTCATGAAATATTAATATTTTTTATCTAAAAAAAAACTAGATTCAATAATGAATCCATGGAAAAAAGAATGGAATTATTTGAGTTAGTTTTCAATTTTTTATGGATTATTTACTAAACTATGTAAAATGAAGAAAATAAAAGAAATCAAAAGAAATTGGTGAAACCTGCGTGGCAAATAGCACATAAAACCAGTTCATCTCAAGGTTTGGGCCAGAAAGGGGGGTGTTGATATTGTTGTATCCCAAAATTTGCCCTACCTTTTCTCCATTTGGTTTATGTTTCATTTCATTGCATTAGCATATCACATTGCATAAGCATACCCCAAATTTGTCCTACTTGTATATATTTCTCATTTATACATCCTTCCATTCCTCATAGTCAGAAAATTCAAAAGTTGCCAGGTGGAGTCAAGTTTCAGATAGGAGGCATGCGTCCTATTCACTTGGTGCATAGTGAATATTTGGACTCATCGAGGTTCAAGATGATATTTGAGTTGGGTACGCCTTCAGTTATATTTCGGGGATTTATTCAAGAAGTTGGATTAAGGAAGAGTTATATGATCATGTGTTTTAATGTATAAACAATTTATGTGGAGACATGGTCTGCCTTCAAGACATAGTTTGATGATGGAAATACTGACAATGCTCATTTATGCTCGAGTCATGAGGATTAAACTAAAGCGCAAGATCCAAAACACTAAGCATGATGGAAAATAACAGTTAGTAATTTCCGGTGGGCAATTTACGACTGTAAGTTTTTCTCAAGGCATATTGAGATTTAATGAGTTATGAGTCGAGTTTGTTTTTCTCCAAGTCATTGTTTCTTAGGCCATATCAATTATTAAATTGTATTTGTTGGTCAAGGCATATTTTTCCAAGTTATTTAATTTGAAGAAACTTCAAGGTATCCCCAAGAAAATAAGCACTTTCTTAGCAATTTTCAATTATTTCAAGACAATACAATGTGAAGAAAGAAGGTGATCACGTTGAAGCTCATGAATTGGTACAAAATCATTTTTACAATTTTCAAAGGATTCATAGAGGTTCATGCTTTATTTTACAAGGAGGTGTACAAAGATTAAAGACGTGGTCATGACATTGGAATCATTTTGATGCTTAATGAGTCATGCTCCAATTCAAGATGTTTTCTTTAAATTTCAATCAAGTTATCCTGGATTAATAAAATAAACAGCATGCCAAAAGCATAAGGAAAACACTGGTTTCGTTTACAATGTTTGCGCAAAAAAAGGCTTCCACCGTGATGCCCGTACGAATCCTTCCATTTCTCCCTTTGAATTCCCACTTTTTCCTTTATGTGAATCCATCTTCTCCTTCTTTTCCCCCAAAGAAGCATATGTTCTGCAGCTCATCATTATCATTATTAATACCCCAGCTGCAATTCGTATACAAGTTACGACAAAGCCGGCATCCCGTGAAACCTGCTCCCAAAAAGAAAACAGATTCCTTACTCTTCTTCCACTTTGAAAACCTCTTCTCTGTTCATACCATCTCCATACGCCCACTTGCAAATCAAGAGAAAAAAAGCCACACGAAAAAACCTGCAGCACAACATTATGCAAAGAAGCCGTTACGTAGGGATGAATACAAACACAGAGAGAGACAAGTTGTATGAAATAAATGAGATCAAGGATTCATTCTAAAAAACTTGTGGAAATCATACTCTTGCTGAAACCATCACAGGCATCATATTCAATAATGGCTACACCACACCTGAAAATGGCAGCAACGGGATTGACGATTTGCGTCCTGTGAAGAATGAATTAAATGAGAAACAAGCTTCACAGCAGCAAAAGGGATCGGACCTCACATAATTTTACAAGGGTTTCTACTTTTTCACCAGAATTTCTTAAATTCCTCGACGTACAACCCTCGATTTGGGCATTGAATTGGTGCTGCATTTGGTTGAATTTGTTTTCTGTGAATTGAACTTGGATGAGAGGATGCTGTAAAGTTTAGTTCTTGGAAGAAAGAATTTTGTGTAGCTATTTGAATTTTGGAATAGAATGTTCAGTACGAGTATGGATTCTGGAAGGGGTGTGGGTGTTGTTGTAGCAGGGACGGTGCTATTTCCCATGTGTTTCGTGTGGCCGTATGGGGGCAGGAGCGTGTATCTCAGTGGTTCCTTCACACGGTGGTCTGAGCTTCTGCAAATGTCACCAGTTGAAGGTTGTCCAACTGTGTTTCAAGTAATCCATAGCTTGGCCCTTGGTTATCATCAGTACAAGTTTTTTTTTTGTTGATGGAGAATGGCGGCATGATGAACACCAACCTTATATATCTGGAGAGTATGGGATAGTCAACACTGTATTATTGCCTACTGATCCTAATTTTATACCTGTTTTACCTCCCGACATAGTTTCTGGGTCTAACATGGATGTGGATAGTGAGACCTTTCGGCGTGTGGTCCGATTGACAGATGGTACATTGAGTGAATTGATGCCGAGAGTATCAGCGGTTGATATACAGACCTCACGCCAACGTATTGCTGCATACTTGTCAATGCAAACAGCTTATGAATTACTTCCTGAGTCAGGCAAGGTTGTTACCTTGGATGTTGATCTGCCAGTGAAGCAAACATTTCACAAACACCACTTACTATTTTTGTCTAGAACTTCATTCTACAACAATGGTAGATCAAGAGGAAACTGAAGAACTCAAGCTTCTTGCTGAATGGAAGAGAAAGAAAGGTGGATTCAGAGCTACCATGTTTATTTTTGTTTTGTCAGCATTGGATAATATGGGTTTTGTTGCAAACATGGTTAGTTTGGTTATGTATTTCTATGGAGTGATGCATTTTGATCTATCAAGTTCTGCAAATACTCTTACAAACTTCATGGGTTCAACTTTCTTGCTTTCTCTTGTTGGTGGATTCATATCAGATACTTATTTGAATAGGTTCACCACCTGTTTGATATTTGGCTCCTTAGAAGTTCTGGCTTTGGCAATGGTTACTTTTCAAGCTGCTTCAGGTCATTTACATCCAAATGCATGTGGGAAATCGAGCTGTGTGAAAGGTGGGATTGGGGTTATGTTTTATGCGTCGTTGAGTTTGTATGCACTGGGTATTGGTGGAGTGAGAGGGTCTATGACTGCTTTTGGTGCTGACCAGTTTGAAGAAAAGGATCCTAATGAAGCAAAAGCACTTGCGAGTTACTTCAATTGGCTTTTGCTTAGTTCAACTGTTGGAGCAATTTCTGGTGTTACTGGTGTTGTTTGGGTTAGTACACAAAAAGCTTTGGCATTGGGGGTTTTTCATAATAACCATAGCTTCTTCTATTGGTTTTGTCACATTTGCTCTTGGTAAGCCTTTCTATAGAATCAAAGTTCCTGGAGATAGCCCCACCATCAGAATTGCTCAGGTTATTGTTGTGGCGTTTAAAAACCGAAAGCTGTCACTGCCAGAGTCACACGAAGAACTATATGAGATAAGTGACAAAGATGCAACAGTGGAGAGAATTCTTCACACAAGCCAAATAAGGTCTCTAGATAAAGCAGCAATTCTGCAAGAAAACATGAAACCACAACCATGGAAAGAGTGCACAGTGACACAAATTGAAGAAGTGAAAATCCTGCGCCATTCTGCTACCAACAGACAATGCCAGCTACAACCACTACCCTGCTACAAACTCACACCAGACCAACCATTCTGCTATCCCTGCTTTAACTCCTCCCACACCAGACAACTCTGCGACAATACAGCCTGCCCCCTGCTACACTAGGTTGTACAAACCTGCAACCTGTAGTGAAAACCAAACCAACCAGCAATATAACAGAACTTAATCTTCATTGGTAAAAGAAAAAAACATGAAGAACCACACTTCCATTCCTCCTCTGGATCAAAACCTGCTACCAATTTTTTCCCCACAACGATTCAACCAATAACACAAAGCCCAGAACAAAACCATCAACTGTTGAATCTCTCCATCTCTAACTCTCAAAAACTCAAAACACAAAAAACCCAGTTACCAAGTTCTGAAAATCAACACAAAAACCACAATCCCAGACTATCAATTTCAAATCTTCAAACACTCTGCCCAGAAACTTCCTCCACCGTTTTTCTTCGAATCACCTTCGAACCCACTCTGCAAATCCACTCACCTCACCTTCCTTCCATCATCATCAGACACAAACGGAAGCTCACCGGCGAAGCCATTTCCACCCTCTTCGAAATCCTTACCGACATCATCATCATCCTCTTAACACCTCAGCTAAATAAATCACCCAGAAATCTCCATTAAACCCTCAAACCCATAATAGAACTTTCATCGAACATATGGTGGGCGACTTTTTGCGTCTCTGTTCAGTACCTTCTTCCATTAATCTCCACTGTTGATTCTTATTTTCTTCAAACCTATTATTCCAAACCAAAGCGGTTACCTTCTCCTCAATCCGTCCGCCTCCTTCAAGCTTCAACCACTCAACTCAGCTTCAAACCCTCCGATTTCAACACCATCGCGAGACCCACTCATCAGAACCCCCCATCGCTAAAACCATGAACAAAGCAAACCAATAGAATGGAGGGAGAATTCGAAACCGAGATCGAGAAAGAGAAGGAGGAAACATTTAATCCTAGGCCTGGAACGAACGGAGGCGTCTGGAGATGAAATATTCTTCTTAGTGAAGATGTGGTGCGATTCACTTTGATTTGCTTCGTAATGCTCTTTGCCTGCGTTTTTACAGAGGTTGGTTTTCTTCCACACTCCAAGTTGTACCCCCTCTGTTTCGTTTAATGGTTTTTGTAAATATTAATTTGTAAACTTAATTTATTCTTTTTATACTTTTGGTTAGTTTTAATTTATATATTATTTTTTCAAAACAGATTTGTTAATATTTATTATATTGTATTCATTTCTTTTGAATTCTACAAGTATATTGTTTTTATAATGTTTTATATAGAAGTTTATATTATTCTCTATTCGGGTTTTATTTCAATTTCTTTTAGAATTTTGATTCATTTTCTCTCTTAGAAGTTGGATTTGATCTTCTCATTTGTCATAGGACTTTTTGTCTCATTTTCATCTGTTTGGGTCGATGACGAGACCTCCGTAATTCATTACCAGTCAAATTATTGATAAGTAATGTTGGATCTGAGACCACCTTTTTTCTCTCTTCATTACTTGTCCCGACTCGATTCAAAATTTTGTCAAACAATTTTCAAAATCAAATTATCTTTGTATTGAATTAAAAAGAGGGGATTAAGTGTAGACTTTCTTCCTCTCCGAGTGTTGGGATGCCCACTGTAGTGAGGGTGGTTCCGACACTCGTCTTTCAATACGAAGACGCTTCCCGTCCATTTTCAAATCTCATCTCCTTAAAATCATTTCTTTGTGTTGAGCTAAAAAGAGGATTGGGTGTAGACCTCTTCTTCTTCGAGCGTAAGGATGCCCACTGTAGTGAGGGTGGTCTCGATGCTCGTCTGTCAATACAAAGACGCTTCCAACATTTCCTCATAAAACCTCGGTCTCGTACTGAGTATACTTTCAATAATAAATTATTTTCTCTTTGTATTGAATTAAAAAGAGAGGATTGGGTGTAGACCTCTTCCTCCCCGAATGTTGGGATGCCCACTGTAGTGAGGGTGGTTTCGATATTCGTCTTTCAATACGAAGACGCGACTTCTTCCACCACCCCTCCTGTCACAACTTCTTTCCGTCACCTAAAACCTTGGTCCCGTACCGAGTGCATTTTCAAATTCTTTTTCATACAAAAACTTGAAGGGTCGTGGAGTGGTTAGGCGTAGGCCTTCTCCTATCCCGAGTGCTGACGTTTACCGTAGGGTTCTTTGTCGCAAAAAGCACTTACCATTCAAAACCAAAAACACTTTAATAAGAGAATGAAGTTCTCTTTGTGTTGAACTAAAGAGAGAGGATTAAGTGTAGTCTTCTTCCTCTCCGAGTGTCAAGATACTCACTGTAGTGTGTGTGGTCTTGATACTCGTCTTCCAATACGAAGACACTACGTTCGCCACACATCATTTTTACAACAAAAACTTTGAGATAAAGAATCGGGTACTACCTGTAGGGGTTACTATCTGAGGACCTATCTCGCCCCAAAAATCAATCTCACCAATCAAACATGACACCTTGCCTCGTATGGCAAAAAACCAACCTTTCAAACAGGATATGTTACGTCCGTTCTACCGCAAACAGGTAATGCCTAAGTCTCCAACGAGCGAGCAGCAAAACACCTAACTGCTAGAATGCGCATGATAACATCATCCATAAAAAACATCAACACACTGTTATCATGAACTACGTTCGCTCTGATTTCTCATACCAGATGAGAATACGTAGGCACAAGACGGCGATGTCTTGGCGAGCTCCCTTTTTCACCTTTCACCCGTAGGCCGAACTACGGCTGCTCTGATTCTTTACTTCGTTCAAGTAAAGATACATAGGCACAAGGGCCACAATCCTTGTCGAGCACAATCCCCCCTATATCTGTAGTTTCCCGAACTACGTCGACTCTGACTTTCTCATATCTGTTGAGAATACGTAGGCCTAGGACCGCGAAGTCCTATCGAGTCTTTTCTTTCCCTCGTCACCCCTTGTTTCCCGTTTCTAAGCCTTTCCCTTAACCCTTTTGAAACACACTTCTTATAGCATAATGTTTAAGCAAATAAATTCACACATCGACAAACAAAAGGTTCCCATCGAGTACGATGGATGCGAGGGGTGCTAATACCTTCCCCTCGCATAACCGGCTTCCGAACCCGTTCTTGGTTGCGAGACCATCTTATCCATTTCTTTCTTAAGGTTTTCTCGATATTTTCCTTTCCCCTCATGGGATAAATAAAATTCGGTGGCGACTCTTCTGTCCTTTCTTCTTCGCCTCCCCGTCGTTGCGCGATGCATTTTTTCGAGTAGCGCCAGCTGGCGACTCTGCTGGGGATAAATCCACTGGCAAGCCACGCCTATTTTGTTTGTCGCATTTGTGCTTTATTTGTTTTGCTATTTATTTTATGGTTATGTTTCTTTCTAACTTGTTGGGTTCATTTGGTTTGGTTTGTGAGGATAAAGCTTTCTACCCGAGCTTTCAAGTATGCACTAAGTTAGGAGGTGGTTTCTTTCTGATTTGCGAGACTTAGGACTCGTTGAGTTGGATTGAATTCCACCGCTCAGATGAGACCCCGTTGGAATAATTATGTCTTACGTGTAGTCGTAATGGCGTTCTTATCTTCAACTTGGGAGTCCGCGATTCTGAGGACCTTTTGTAGAACCTTATTCCAAGGGTTGCTAAAACATAACTCTGTGTTCATCCTTTTGAAGGGATTACCGTCTTACGAGTAGTCGTTATGATGGGAAACTTTTGAGGGTTAGTGCATGGGACTTTGTTTGAAAAGCCTTTGGAATACCCTCTTAAACCAATAGATTGCTCACCCGAGGTGAGAGGTATCTCGCTGTGCTGCCTTGCGGGAAAAACTTTGACCTTCATCCTACCCGTTTGTCAGTATGAACAATTACAGTGGGATCCTTGTACTAATGTTGTCTGGTTTCAAGGCGAAGCGCTGGTCCGTCACCGTCAACAACACAACAACGTTTGATCCCCTGTTGCATTTGCATATTCATTTGCATTTCTTCGCATGTCTTGCATATTGCATCATTATTCATTTGCATAGAGGTGTTCTAATTTTGTGGACGTAATTGCTTCATGTGGTTTTCCATCCGGCTTGTTCCAGAATTGAAGATCATTCCACCCAAAGGAAACCAACAGAGACGACCATGGAACAAATTCGAGAAGAGTTGAGGGGAATCCGAAGCCAAATGGGACAATTCATGACGGACATGCAAGTTTTGTTTCAGGATCAGAAAGTGCTTAGAGAAGAAGTCCATCAGTTGAAGACTCAGATGGGCCTGATAACAGAAGTCATGAGAAATGTGTTGAGAAAGGAAGGCGATCATGTGCCCGAAGCTGCAGCAGAGATGGCCATCCCACCTTTACATGTGGAACCTCTCCCAAGGCGTGAAGTGCCTCAAAGATATCTTACACAACCTGAGGTTCCAGTATTTCCTCGCCAACAACTACTTCCTGTTTCCCGAGACAATCCTAGGATTATGAGGTATGCTCAAAGGACGAAGCAGTCCGACAGAATGTTCAACCAGATCCCTATGACTTATGCTCAGTTGTTGCAACTCTTGCTTCAACTTCGATTGGTTAAACTCCGGACTATGGCTCCGTTGACTGGCGAGCCACCACAAGGCTATGATGAAAATGCCCATTGTGATTTCCATTCTGGGGCACCGGGGCATAATATCGAGAACTGCAAAGCCTTTAAGCACAAGGTTCAGGATTTAATCGATTCAA